TGGCCCATGATTGACTATTGAATATTTCCGCTATTCATTCAGACTTAATTATGATGTTTGTTATGTATGTTTACTTACTGAGTATGGTATGGACTATGTTCATGGACGCCCCGTACAATCAAGAGTTAGTGTGACCTGCAGGTGACATCACTTGACTGTGCGGCGGTTGTACACACACTTAGATGCGGTCTGGGTGTGACAGCCTTAATTAGTGGAGTTCTTTCAATTAGTGGTTACCATGGTAGATGATATCTTTCAAATACCTCTGGCTTTGCAGGAGGATCCAGAGACAAAGGCACTATACAAAAGATTTGGAGTCAACTCCTAATTACTGATTGAAATTAGTTATTTCTAACCAATATGTGATTCGTAGTAAATTGATTGAAGAAGCTCCTGACATACCCATCGAGGGTTTTGGGGGCTATCTAAAGACACTAAAGAGATTGAATGATCATTTATATTGGCAGAGAATGAAGCAACATGTTAAGCGTTTTATTTAGGGTTGCACAATTTGCCACCGAAATAAATATTAGGCATTGGCTCCAGCGGGTCTTCTTCGACCTTTACCCATTGCGGAGCGTATTTGGGAGGACATATCTCTTGATTTCATCACAGGTCTTCCAAAACCTGGGGGTTGTAACATAATACTTGTGGTGGTTGATAGATTAAGCAAATATTGCCATTTCATGGGTATGTCTCATCCCTACACTGCTAAACCCGTGGCCCAATTATTTCCCAGAGAAATAGTCCACCTCCACGGGATGCCCTGATCTATAGTTTTTGACAGAGATATTGTTTTCTTAAGTATGTTTTGAAAAGAATTGTTCCGCCTTAGCAAGACCTACCTAAACATGAGCATTACCTACCATCCTCAATCAGACGGTCAAACAGAGGTGTCAATCGTTGTCTAAAAGCTTACCTAAGGTGCTTTATCGAGAACAACCCAAAAGTTGGAAAGATTCCCTTTGCTGGGCTGAGTAATCTTTCAACACAAGTTATAATGTGGTTGCTGATAGCCTGATACCACCCCTTTAAGATTGATTGTATATATTATGAGAGAGAAACACCATCGCTTTTCCCTTACATTAAAGGCGAAACAATATTGGTTGAATTAGAAAAGCAGCTACAGTTACGGGTTGACATGCTGGCCATTCTGCGCAATAACTTACTAAAGGCTCAACATCGCATGAAAGTTCAAGCTGATCGCCACCGTAGAGACATGCAATATTCTCCAGGTGATGTCGTATGGCAAAAATTACAACCATACCACCGGAAAATTTTAGCCAAGCAAAGATTTAAGAAGCTGTCTTCACGATTTTTTGGTCTTTACAAGGTTCTTCACCGTATCAGGCCAATCGCGTATGAGCTTGAATTACCCGCCGCCACCAAAATTCACCCCATATTTCATGTCTCATGATTGAAGTACGCGATTGACCAAGTACTACCGAAGGTACCAACGCCTCTGCCTTCACCGTCAGACTTGGAGTTAATATAGACTCCTTCAAAGGTGCTCCAACACCGCTGGAGTGATAGCACGTCGTTTGAAGTGCTAGTCTAGTGGGTGAAAAATCATCGAAGGAGGCCACTTGAATTGGGAGGATTATGACTTACTAGCCACGCAATTTCCAGACTTTCGACTTGAGGACAAGTCATGTTTTCGAGGGGGGGTAATGATAGATTCCCTAAGAATTACAAATTTACTTATTCGAGGAAGAATAAACAAAGAAAGTGGCAACAATGTTGGATGGCTAGCGATTACTAGTTTTAGTTTTATTTATTTATTTATTAATTAATTTATTTATTTAATCAATCTTGTTCTTATCTATTAGTTGACTAGTTTTCAGTTAAGAAATAAGTGGATCTCTCCACTACTTCTTAGGAATCGATCTTATCATTTGGTTATTTCCCCATCGTGTAAGCACTACAAATAGGCTCTTTGGCTCTTTGCCTTATGAATAAATCATCGATCATTCAGTTCTCATAATATTCTTGCGAAAATACTCCCTAGGTTTATCTTTAGGTGTGAGATTCTTGCCTTACTTATTGATTGAAGAAGATTAAAACTCTATTTTCCCTTTATTAATATTGACTGTGTGGGATATATCAATTAAGCTTGCCCATTTGTGTCCTTTCTCAAATTACTCTCACACGCTTGTGTCTTTTCCAATCTCTTTCCTATCTCACGCCCCCACCCACCCCCTCTTCCTCTCGTTCTCTATGGATCGTCCACAAATTCTTTCTACTTGACAATTAACTTTGACCCAGAAATTGAGCTTTATGATGCTCAAATAACATGACTATAGCTCAATCTTTCTCCTCCTTATAGCCCCAACCCTTAAAATTAATAAAAATAGAAAATAAAAACTATAAATTAAAAAAAAATAGGAAACGAAATTTAAAAACATAAAAAAACAAATATACCGCCATCTCTGCCACTCCCAGTATCACCAGCTCCGATCACCGGAGAAAAATGCCAACATGCATTAGCAATGTCATATTTATGACAGTTTCGATGAAAATTTTGGCGATATCAAGAGTAATAATGTCACTTTCTTGGCGTTTTCATAAAAATGACATTTTATCACCGATCGGAGGTGGTTGGTGGAAGGTGGTAGAGGTGGTGGGAAAGGCATCCATTTATTTTTTATTTTTAATGAGCATTTACTATTTTTTTAATGGCTAAAGGGTCAAATAGGTACATGAACTAACTTAAAGTGTTCAATTAGCCCCTTATATAGGAAATTCTGCCCGGCCGTCGCCAATTGGGGCGGTTCCCGGTGGAATATTTTGATGAAAATTTTTGAGCATCTTCTTCATTAAGTCTAGTTTACTCATATCAAATTTCAGCTAAAAATTAAATCGGGAAGGCAGTCAAATGAGTTTCCAAAATGTACTGCGTTTTTTACCTGCGCAGTTATCTTCAAAAAATCATTTGACTGCCTTCCCGGTTGAATTTTGAGCTGAAATTTGGTATGGATAAACTAGACTTAATGAAGAAGATGCTCAAAAAATTTTATCAAAAAATTCCACCGGGAAACGCCCCAATTGGCGACGGCCGGGCAGAACCTCCTATTTAAGGGGCTAATTGAACACTTTAAGTTAGTTCATGTACCTATTTGACCCTTTAGCCTTTTTTAATTTAAAAAAACAAATAATTTTTTTCGAAACTATTGTTTTATAAATATTTTATTATATTTTTATTAATTTTTTACAATTTTATTATGAATTAAAACATTTCATTGTGAATTAATACCCTTAGGGGTATTTAGGCTAGAAAATTAATGTTTAGTCCTATATGTGAATGGTTTAGAGCTTTATTCCTATTTGTGATTTTTAGGCAAGTTTTAGTCCTGTCAGGCCGGTCTAACGAGAACCGCCGTCAGAATGAGGCCATTTGGGGCCCTTCATGGCGAAATTTTTTGACATGTTCTTCATCAAGTTTAGTTTATGCCCATCAAACTTCAGCTAAAAATTTAATCGGGAAAGGAGTCAAATGTGGAATTGAAAAATACTGCGATGTTTATATATACAAAACACAATGTTTGTAAATAAGTTATTTGACTGTCTCCCCAATTGAATTCTAAACTGAAATTTGGTGGGTATAAACTATACTTGATGAAGAACATGTTCAAAAAAATTTGTCAAAAAATTCTACCGAGAAGGGCTCCAAACGGGCTAGAACCGATGGCAAGTCATGTTAGACCAACATGATAGGATCGTACTCCATATCTACATGTATAGGTAAAGTGCTTGTGTGTGTTTGTGTTACTGAAGCGACATATTTTAAACTTGAGTTTATGTTGAGAAGAAATTGACAGGTTTGGAGATTATTTGAGTTTTTTTGTGTGTGCTAGTGACATGATAATAACAAATTATAGAACCGTAAGTTTGAGAATCATGAACAAGAATGCTCTTATTAGCCATCTTTTTTCATCAAACACGTAACTTTTGATTTTGCGCGCTGAATTGCGTTATAATCAAATTAGTAATATATTTCTAGCTTCATTGATTGAAAGAGATATTTTTATCCTTTTTATGAATAAAATATACTTAAGCTGCTTCCGCCATAATTTCAGCCCATTCAGTTAATTCGAGTAGAGTTTTGTCACTCTTAGTCATCTAACTATTATGCCAGTGACATTTTTGGTACTTGACTTTGAATTTTTCCATTTTTGATCCTTCAACTATTGTGCAAAAGACACTTGTGATACCCGTCTTTGAAATTTTTCATATTTAATCATTCAACTTTTATAAAAGTGACATTTTTGATCATTCAACTACCGTAATAGTGACATTTTCTATCCATCTACTACCGTAATAGTGACATTTTTAGTCTTATACCTATTGTGTCAAAATCATAGTGGAATGACTAAAAATGTCAATTTAATAATACTCAAGGAACTAAATGTAAGAAACTTGAAATTCAATGACCAAAAGTGTCTATCATGTAATAGTCGATGATTGAAATTGAAAAATTGAAAATCAAATATCAAAAAGTATCACTAACACAATAATGAGAGAATAAAGGTGACAAAAACTCATTTGAATATTAGCAAATGAATTGTAAGACACACGGGATGATAGGAATAATCAAATGATTTTAACCCGCACGGGTACCTCAGTTAGTTGAATGGTGAGAAAGTTGTAAGAATGACCAATGATTGAATCCCGCAGCGGCCGTGTGGAGGTTACAGCTTCTGCGTGCTGGGATGGACCTCTGGTGCGCACGAAGGTCTGGCACCATTGGACCGACTGAGTCACCATAACTCACAACCCCTCAAAAAGTCCTGTCGGGTCGGGGCGTGGGGCCCTTAAAGTTGGGGATACAACCTTTTATAAAAATTTGGAAGAATAATCAAATGATTTCATGATACAATTTGCATCAAAATTATTGTGTACGGATGCAAATATTTCACCACGATGCTCAGTCAATATTACGTACCAATGTCCAATGTACCATGCCAACAAAACGAAAAGAAGTACGCGTACTTCGCTCCTTATGTAGTCTCTCGTTTCTCTGACTAACCGCAGTACAATCCTATCGTGTATCTCCAAAAAAAAATCAGCTTTCGTTGTCTTGCGCTCCATTATCTTCTTAGCCTCAACTTGTCAAAACACCTGGCATACCTTTCCTCTAATGATATTCTTCTTCCTCACATCCATCAATGCTCAAAACCTCCAATTCCCACACACCCATTGCGTATAATCGTGTTCTTGTTACATAGTTATGTCAGTCCATTTCGATCTCAAGGACTTTCAAGAGAAGCTATCAACTCACCTGAGGCCATGGCAGCGTTCTTTGCAATTTTGGGCTCGAACTGCTGATATCTACACTGGTTATAAAGTAAGTAAGCGGATCAAACCTCTGGAAATGAAATTTGAGAAAGAATTGAGCTTTGAATGTACTCCGTATATGTATGATGAAATTGTAATTTTCTGTTTGTTGATAGGCCTTTCAAGTGAGGGTGAGCTTTGAGAAGGATTTAAGGAAGCAGGAGGCAATGTGGGAGAGGCAGCATGAGCTCGCTGCTGAGAAGATATACGACATGTGCTCTGAGCTTGGTGGCTTTTTCCTAAAGGTACTGCTTTTTCTTTTTAATATGTTCAAGGTTTAGATTAGTAAAGAAATCTATGGGATGGAAAAGTTTGATCTCATAAATATCAAAATTGTCTTGTTCAATGCATATCAGGCATAGTGAGATTGAACTTTTTACCTTTAATTTCTGATGGTGTTAGATAGCTCAAATTATTGGGAAGCCAGATTTGGCTCCCGCTGCATGGGTAAGAAAGCTAGTTACTCTATGTGATCAAGCACCTGCTGCGCCATACAGTGTGATCAAAGTAGTAGTTGAGAAAGAGTTGGGTCAAAGTGTTGATGACTTGTTTGAAAGATTTGATGTGCAGCCACTGGGTTCTGCTTCCATTGCACAGGTTTCCCCCCTTTTTATATTTTCTTTATTATAGAGAGACATTTGTGCTTCTGTAAGTGTTCAATTTGAATGATGAGTGTCAGTAATTAACATGTCAAATGTATTTATGCTATTAAAAGTTCTTTACTTTCTTTATGAAAGCTTGATGCTGGGATATTGGGTTGACTAAGGGTTCTTGCTAAAACGAAACCAATAATTAAGAACACCTGTGTTATTTGATGTACTTTTAGTGGAGAGTCACAACATGTTGTGAATCCCTTAACATGAGACATTTACTCTAATTTTGAATAATGGGTGAGATTGAATTGAAATCCTCTGTGCGTACCACCCATTTTGATTGGTTGAAATTGCTTTATTTTTATATACATTTTGATTGATTTAGAAACACCGACCAATCAAAACGAGTGGTACTCGAGTGGTACAGGAAAACGCCGTACATGAGATTTCAACTCGTGGGGAGTGTGGGTGTGGGACTTGACTTGAGATGAATGAAATGTACATCGGTAGATTTACAACAATTTAAAGCTATGGGTAGGAGATATCATTTTAAATAGCAGTTTCTTTGTATGCTTTATTTTCATATTGACAAAAGGGCTGCAGAAAGATGTCGGTCCAAAGCTTAGCCTTTATAGCTCTTAAATACTTGATTTTTATTTCAATTATCAGGTTCACCGTGCAAGACTTAGAGGCAGCAAAAATGATATTGTTGTCAAGGTTAGACCGTGATTTTTTTCTGTACAACTTAAATGCTTATAAGCCATAACTATAATTGTAATCACTGTAGGTCCAACATCCAGGTGGTCAAGAACTGATGATGACTGATATCCGTAACCTGCAAGCCTTTGCACTGTACATGCAGAAGACAGACATCAAGTTCGATTTATTTTCTGTGACCAAGGAAATGGAGAAACAGGTCATTGTTTTTCATATTGCATAATCATCATTTTCATTCTCTGTGACATAGTATGAACAGCCTTATCATTTCTACTGCTACGATGTAATACTCTTTTAAATGAGGTTTCTCTTACTTGTGCTCTTCAAGATTAGTTATGAATTTGACTTTACAAGAGAGGCTGATGCTATGGAAAGAATTCAACAATTTCTATATGAGAATAACAAGAAGTCCACTGTGCTGGTCCCACAGGTGATGCGAGACATGGTCAGCAGGTTTGTTCAGTACTAAACAGGAATGATGTTTTCTTTTTACAAAGCAGGCATTTGCTAACATTTTATTTTGTTTGAATGATACCTAGATGGTTATCATATATACTAAACGTACAGTTATATTATATCAGCACTTAAGAATAAAGTTGGAGCTTTTGTGATATATCATAAAAGAAGGATACTATATCACAACATCCACTAGTTTAGTTATATTTTATGCTATTTCTCTCCTTTTCTGGAGTGTGTTTATTCTATAACATAATTTGAACCACATACACACATCCATACATATATAATGAGCATTATGTATGCATGATATTTTCTAGCTTCGCAGCCCACTTTTCCTTTTACTTGATGTTGTTAATAGGAGGGTTCTTGCGATGGAATATATAGATGGAACACCTATCCTCAAGCTGGGAGATGAAATGGCAAAGAGAGGCATAAATCCTAGTGGCAAGTTGGCGGTAGCTGCAAAGGAGTAAGCAACCAACTATCACCCTAATTGTGCTAAGTGCTTTCGACATTGCTTATAGATACATATTTGCACTAACCAATTGCTATTATTCCTTGAACTTGTACTAAACAAGTTAGGGCCTACTTTAATGTGTCAATCACCAGTTTTTCATTTTAAACTTCTCATAGCTTGCTCCTTAGTCTAGTCTAGATTTGGTCTGATCTGGTCTATTTAAGTCTGGTATGATCTGAACTGGTCTGGTCTGGTAGGTGTATGATCTATGTGTAATTTATAACTGTAGTAGTCTGGTCCGGTCCAAGGTAGTAAAAGTCGTGAGGCGCTAGAGTACTCAAATCCCCTGAGGCGCAAGGCGCAAAAAAAAAAAACGGTCGCTCGACTCATGTCAAGTGCACCATCTATATACTTTAAAATATATAGCATAATTATAATTTAAAAATATAAAACAAGTCAGAAAAAGAAACAAGCAAATCTAAAAGAAGAAACTTTTTAGTTAGCAGATAAAGTACAAAACAGAAGAAGAAAGTGACACAGAAAAGAAAAAAGATAAACATATAGGGTTGATTTCTTGAAAAAGTTTCTATCTACTGTATATCTCTTCAAACTCCTCACAATTTACTTTGTACCCCCCATGCCCTGCCCCACATTTTTTTTCAATCAGCCAAATCCCCTACATCAGAATCCATCAATTCCTTAACAAAAGTTGATCATTTGTAACCCATATGTTCATTTTAGTGGCAGCTTTCTTGTATATATAAGCTATATCCAACATATTCGACACAAAATCAGGAGTTAGAATAATCTAGATGAAGTAGTAAATTGATCTCAATAAAGGAACGAAGTTCATCTGTAGTTTAGTACCCTAATTCAATTTTGGCACGTGAACTGTGCCCTAATTTTGTTTGAATAAGCTGGATAATAGTTGGAAAATGAAATTTCTCACTAAAATGGACACATGGGTGACATATGATTATCTCATGTTAAGGAATGAACAGGAGTTATAGGAGGTTGACTGAGATTGGCTGTTTGAACAAAACCACATTATGGGGGATCAAGATTATTGGGGGGCTGGATGAGACAACCACACTAGTCTTTCGGGAGTGGGGAGCTGAAAAAACCCTTAAATCAATCCCTTTATGTTATGATTTTGATTTTCAATTTCTAAGATGATGCAGTGTGATTCTTTATTAATGACTGGTTTGGTTTTCTATTCATTTTTAAGTGAATATCTTAAGTTGTGTAATAAAAGGACGAGCTTTGTAGTTTCTTTATTGCAATCCAAAGTCACACAAGTGCATGTAGTTATTCGGCTTTTCTCTGATGACCATCAGAACTGGACATTTGATAACAAAGTAACATGATTTTTCAAAGAACACACATGAGCACAATAACTGGACAGAGTACTAACTTCAAGCGTCAGATTTTTGCTCTGTTTTTTAACATATTTAAAAAGAATTGGAGAAGGGAATATAGGCTTTTATTTAGTTAATTTTAATTTAATGTTCATTTTTAATGCAGGAATATCCTCAAAACTTTATCACTTGCTTATGGGCAAATGATACTGAGGAGTGGTTTCTTCCATGCAGATCCTCACCCTGGAAATATTCTAATCTGTAAAGACTCTCAGGCAAGTGGGTTTCTAGTTCTCGGAGAACTCCAGACCTTTCCCTATTTCTTGGACCCTATTATGTACTCATTTCCGAACAATGTATAGATAACAGCGAATCAGCATAACACCGAATTGTTTCTCTCAGGTTGCCTTGCTCGACTATGGGCAAGTGAAGGATCTTCCTGATAATTTGAGACTAGGATATGCCAACTTGATTCTTGCTATTGCTGATAATGACCCAGTAAAGGCAGAACATAGTTACAGGTGTCACTATTTAATGTTGAACTTCCACTCCTTTTCTCCCTCTATGAATGGTTTTTGTTTTCACTTTTTTCAAATGAGTGATTTTTCCCATTCTCTTCTCTGTGCGTGGGGAGATCCGTCTTCAATTTTCCTTAGTCAGACAGACATTATGACTGATTTCAAACTAAACATTTCGCACATCTAATTTAATACTACGTAATATGGAAAATGTATTTACGAATTTCTCTGCAATTATTTATAATGTTTCGCAACTCTATTTGTCAATCAAACTCTTGAAACATGAGGAAACAATTAATTAGCTACACTACACACATAGTGCGTGTTTTCCCCACAACTTAATTGGATCTTATCTACTCCCAAGACAACAAGGTGGGAAAAGACTAACGATTATTTTGATGGAGGGTTTGGGGCCTTGGAGGCTTTAGGGGGGCTAGGTGTATATCTTGATATATATTTGAGATAATCATCATTTTCATTTACCCCAATGTCGCAAAGGCTCCCACCTACGATGGGGTAAGGGGGGTCAGATGTACGCAGTCTTACCCCTGTACTAAAGCACAGAAAGACTGTTTCCGGATGACCCATAGTGAAAATCACGTCCAAAATTGCATGGACTGACTGCTGCTTCATAACAAAGAAGCGCAGACAGTTTAATGAGTCATTTTGCTTTATTCCATCATATTCTCAAGCCAAATTGTTCATTTGTTCATTTTTAGGAATATTATATCCACAAAATCCTTTTTGTACAAAACTTGTACACAATTCACACGGACAATATTTTGTTCTCACCGGCAATATCTTGTCAGTGAATACTTGTGTTATGTGAGAACACTGCATAGACAAAAACACATTCACCTTTTGTCAGTGTGAACAATAAATCTTGTATGTGCGAAGGTGTTGTACAAATATAATACAAGTTTGATTTAAATGTAGAACAACTCTTAGGTTTTTCGAGATATAGAGTAACCCTTCCAAAGCCTTCCGCTCCAAGACTCCTCCTTCTACAGTGGCCCTAAAAATCTCTTTGTTACTATGTTCTACGATCCAGGCTTTCTAGAACACCTTTTTTTAAACCAGCTCCAACAGGACTAACAAATGGAGACACTAGGAAAGTTATTACTGAAACCAATAAACCAAACTAAGTTTCTATATTCTAACATTCAGATATGCACATGTTTTTAATTGCGTTGCAACTGTTTTTATCACATATGCACATGCATACTAAGTATATTTCTCTATGTGGTAGAGAGCTTGGTATAGACACCTTGAGCAAATGTGAGGATGAACAAAACGAATTGCTTAGACTAGCACAAACTATGTTTGATACGAAATTACCCCCTGGTGTGACAATGCTTCAACCTTTCTCAGAAGGATCTTCAATTAGAAAGATTGCTGTTCCGGTATGCTCGCAAATCTTGCATTCATGTCAATGAGAATTGGGACATTTATACGTCATACTCTTAAATCTCATGTTTGATTTTCTTCTAATATGATTACGTAGGCTTTTCCAGAGGAACTTTTTTCAGTTCTTCGCACTGTGCATTTGCTTAGAGGTCTTAGTGTTGGACTTGGAATTAATTACTCTGTTGCTGAGCAGTGGAGACCTATTGCTGAAGAAGCACTATACCGGGCTGGAAGACTTGAGGGTAAGTAGTTCCCTTTGATGCTTTGATTGAGATTCATGAAGACCAGATTAAATTTTAAAATGAAATCGATCCAGCATTTTTGTTTATTTCATTATTTATTTTGGAAAAATTGGTAGGGGGGCTAATTATGCTTCTAGAAAATCTATAAAAACTGCTTTCTTGCTTCTTACCCTTCCAGTACTGTAATTCCTCATGCTCACTCCTTCTTCATTCTTAAGTGCCTGTTTGGTGGCTATAAATATTTAAGGGGTGTAAATGCGATGAATTTGGTGAGGCTATTGAAATTGCTGATTGGATTGAATTAGCTAAAAAGTGTGCATTGTATATTTCTTCATAACTTAAAAGAAAATTATGTCCAAGAGGTTAGGATATGCGTCATTTATCCTCATTATAAAGCTAATTTGTGGAGTTTCTTTTATTATTATTAACAAACAACTCGGCCAATGAATTCTTTTTTCAATTCATAAATATGCTTCAATTGATAGTAATTCGTTTAATGATTCATAAACTAATCTTTGTGGGATAATATTTCAGGGAATGAGCTCAAAAGTTTGCAGAAGAAAGGCTTTTTTAGAAGAAAACTCTGGAGATAAGAAACAGGAAGAGTAGTTTAGTGTGCACTCATTTTCCTAGTTAGGCTACGTATTTGACAGCCTTCATTAAGTAATCTCTGTCTTGTAAAAATGTAATTGTAGTAGGGATTTTCACTTCTGAGAGCAATTATATGTTTTTTAGATAATACTATATTAATTAAGAGTGCTTCTGGTGGTGGACTGGTGGTGGTGTTTTATGTGTGTCTTAGTGCTTGTACTTGTGAAAGACCCATCAACAAAACTTATTTTGAACTGGAGGTGCATTATTTGTAAAATGCACCTTCGTCCTTGTGGGTGCAATGCATATTTTTATCTTATTTACATATTATTTCAATTACACACACACTCATTTCAGAGTTTTTTTCGAATTAATGCTAATTAATACGGAGTAATTATTTGTGAAATTAGGGTCGGGTTAAAAAATTTTAATGGAATGTTGGGAGGAATTGTGGTTAACAAAAACCGCCCAATGAAAATATGGAATGGCGACATGCAAACCGTCAACCAGTTTGATGACTTTCACTCTGTGAAGTCAGTTAACCGTGTCAGGAAGTGGTAAACTGATAGGTCACATAGTGGAGATCAGGGGATGAAGGCCTGAAGGCTAGTGGCAAATGCCAAGGACTTGAAGGTTGTCGGAGTCCCAAGGTTCGTGGGAGAACGGTGACTTCCGGTGATCTGTGCAGGAAGGAGTTGATGGAGGAGAGTGATATGGTGTGGTGGCTAACCACATTGGAATTGTCCTGTTTTAAATTAGACTAATTTTTTTAGCCTACCCTGATCTGATTTGATCTAGTCTAGTCTGCTTTTAATTGATCTGGTCCATGTGTCTGTAGTAATAAGTATCGAGGTCTACAGTGATCCACTAAAGTCTGATCTGGTATGTGGGGAAATATGAAAATACTCTTAAAGTATATGTGCAGGTACCAATGTATCCTTAAAGTTCTAAAAGTTGTAATAATGCCCCTAATGTTCCTATAAACGAGCAAATTAGCCCTAATATTATCGAGTTTATAAAAAATAATTTAAAAAAACACCAAATATAAATTATATATTGAAATTTAAAAATTGAAAAGATGAAATTTTAAAAACCTATTTTGTGTCCAATTTTCCTTTTTATTATTTTTATTTCAAAATGTAATATTGTTTGTATAACAATTGTTTCAAAACTCTATTATACATTTATGGTTCTTCCGAAAAAGTGTTAACATATGTGTTGCAATGTAAAAAATCATCAATTTTTGGTGTTGTTTGCACGATAAGGTTTACTTGACATATTTTGTATGATGATAAATAGTCTAAGATTACAATATAATGGATTTAATTTTATTAATTATAAACAACATCAAAGAATGTTATTAAAAGTGTAACAATGTAATCTAAATTTTACAAGAATACTAAAATTAATATTTATGAATAAGAAGTGCTTCTCTTACAAGGGGAAAATAATATTTTTGCAATTTAGAACTAAAGTGTTAATATTTAACATAAAATATGTCTGTATTTTTATTCATTTGAATAACGAAATCATTTTTTATTTTTTATATAAGTTATTCTATTTTTAAGAAAAATATGTTTTTCATTTTTTAATATTTCCATTTTCTAAACCTAATAAATCTTAATATTTTAGTGTTTTTTTAATTTTTTTAATTTATTTAAAATCATCAAAGGCTAATTTTCTCCTCTATAGGAATATTATGTATTTTTTTGTGCCTTTTAAAAGTTTACGAGCATATCTATATATTACCTCCGTCCCAATGAACTTTGCCAAATTCGAATTAGGTGAGAAATAAGAAAAATAAAATTTGTGCCAAATACGAATTACCTTGAGGTTTGTACATAGAGAGAGAAACACGCAAAACCACACGCTCGTTGCTTTAAAAGGAAAATGACAATGTTTTTGGAACAAACAAAAAAAGAATAGTTGACGAAATTGAGTGAGACGAGAGGAGTATATTTTAAGGATGTATTTGCACATTTTTGTTTAAAATTAGAAAAAAGGCTAAAGGGTCAAATAGGCCCCCGAAATAACTAATAAGTGCAATTCACCCCTTATGTAGGAGGCTCTTTTCGGCCGTCGCAAATTGGGAAGGTTCCCGGTGGAATTTTCTGATGACATTTTTTGAGCATCTTCTTCATTAAGTCTAGTTTACTCATACCAAATTTCAGCTAAAAATTCAATCGGGAAGGCAGTCAAATGACTTTTTGAAGATAACTGCGCAGTTAAACAGCGCAGTACATTTCAGAAAATCATTTGACTGTTTTCCCGGTTGAATTTTTATCTGGAATTTTGTATGGGTAAACTAGACTTAATGAAGAAGATGACCAAAAAATTATCTCTCATTCGAACACACTATTACAATTACTTTTTGGATTTTTCTCTCATTCGAACACACTATTTCATTATATTCCCATCATATTCTCAAAAATTTATATCTCTTTTAACTATTCATAATCTCACTTATTCTTAAACGAAAGATATGAATGTCACGAGTAACAGTACTATTCATGAATAAAAGTCTTAAATTTAGTTTGATATATGGAGTATTATGTAGTCTAAGACGAAAAGTAAAAACATCTTTAAGCATGCTACCATACCCATAAAACAACCGAGGCACCATGGAATCTTCCTTTATTGATTTTGGAATGCGGAGTAATAATAAGGCGAAGAACGGGAAAACAATAACCCACCACCAATTTCGCCATCAATTCAGAGCTTTCCCCCAAACTCCCTTTACCCTTGCGTATATCTTCTCTCCTCTCTTCTTCCCACTTTCGGCGTCTTCATTTTAGGTAGAGTAATTACTTCTTTCTTCTTCCCATATCTTACCTGCTCGCTTATATACTTATATTCTACGGACTAAGTTCATCTCCCAATACCCTTTTGTCAGTGAATTCTCTGTTTTTCATAAGTTTCATTTCATCCCTGGCTTTCTCTAGAGAAATTGAAATGGAGTGTATTGAAGCCAGAGCGTTTAAGTCCAGCGCCCTCAAGAAAATATCAATGAAATCGAACCCACAAGTTTTTTTCGACGACGTTTGGTGTTTGACCGGCCTGAACAACGTTAATAGCGGCAGCGACGATTTTTCCATCGACGACCTGTTGGACTTTTCCGGCGAAGATTTCACCGGGAGTCGGTCGTCTTTAGACTCCGAGGAAGACGACGGCCGGAAACCCAATTTCTGTTTGGTGTCTTCTCCTCAGCACCGCCAGAATTCCGACTCCCTGACTTTTTCCGGCAACGACGACTTCGCCGCTCTTTCTTCCGGCCAACCTCCCCTGCCGGTATGTAATTTTCCTTTACAGAATTGAATTTTCCCACCGGCGTACTTTCTAGACTTAATTAGTTGAAAAATTCTACCCCGTAAAAGGAAAAGAGTAATCTTTTTACCTTTTTTTGCAGGCTTACGATATGGAGAATCTCGAGTGGTTATCGCAATTCGTGGATGACTCTTCATCGGAATTGTCATCGTTTTTGCCCAACCCCTGTTTTCAGCCGGGAACCGGGAATATCCCGGAGAACCGGCGTGAACCGGTGGTAATCCCGGCCTTCCAGAGAAAACCGAGGAGCAAAAGGCTCAGGATAACCCGGCAGCTATGGTCATACTTGGCCCTACCACTACCTTCAGAGCCATCTTCATCGTTTTCCGGCGGCGGCATAGAAGGGCCGCCGGCGAAGAAGCAGAGAAGAGAGTCAACGGCGGAGACCGGTTCAGGCGCCGGTTCACTGCGACGGTGCAGTCATTGTCAGGTTCAGAAGACTCCACAGTGGCGAACCGGGCCGATGGGCCCGAAAACTCTGTGTAACGCTTGCGGAGTTAGGTACAAGTCCGGCCGGCTGTTCCCGGAGTATAGACCGGCGTGCAGTCCGACCTTCTCCGGAGTGAAGCACTCCAATAGTCACCGGAAAGTTTTAGAGATGAGACGGAGGAAGGAAGCCGGCGCCGGAGCGACGACCGTTTAGACGCCAGGGTGGACCGGCACCGTTGGGTATCAATGGTAGGCGTAGCCGCGTAGGTAGATATGCGTCATATTTGGGCAAGTGTAACGGTAACGGCGATAGTGATAGGCATCTAGACGGAGTTTAGGAAGGTTATAATTAGTGCATGGATTTTAGGCTTTGATTTGGTTGTAATTTGTTTTTTTTTTATAATTTAATCGCAGTTTACTGTATCAGAGTCATTATCAGTTAGTGGAATTATTTGGTTTCCTATTATCATTACTATTATTAATTGTGTCCTAATAGTGGACAACTAGTAAGAGATTGAAAGCACGTCTTAATCCAAAGTATCTCAAAGTTTTTTATTACTCTATATTCTAAAGTTAAATTCCCCACTCCTCTTTTAGAAATAATTTGAAATATATAATCAAATTAGAAATACTTCCGGAGAAGTTCCCGGGTTGACTTTCACACATTTTAGGAAAACAAAGTTATTGAGGAGTAAATTTTACTGTTTGGCACTGTTTCGACACTGTTTGACACTGTTTTGACACTGTTTGGCACGATTTGACACTGTTTTATGTAGGATAACTTTCCATTTAGGGAGATGAAAAGTTTCTTTTGGGAGATCCAAATAAGGAAAGTGGAAACTTGTCTCTGGGATGGAGGTAGTAGTAAATAAAAATGCAATTTTAGTAACTATAGTGACTATAGTTGTATCCAAATGTTACATGTTAATGATTATAAAACTAACTCATAGTAACTTATAGAGCTCGTTAGGTGACATTGTTTTTCGGCTTTATCAGATTCATCAGCCAATTTTTTCACCAAGCACGTAACTTTTGATTCCATGCACTGAATTGTGTAATAATAAGATAAAATAAGGTTGAAGTTAATTTTATAGTTGTATTGGCTGAACTTAATGTAAAGAATCATTTAGGCTACTTTTTCAACATATAATTTTTCAAAAATGATATTTGTACCCACTCTTATACCCACTTTTGTACTCACCTATGTCTGTGAAGTGTTTTTTTGTCTGTGAACCTCAGTTCACAGACAATAGTTTGCACAAACAAAATATTGTCTTTGAATCGGTTTCACAGACAAAAAAAACACTTCACAAACATGGTGGGTATAATGTGGGTATAAGAGTGGGTACATCAAACATTGTTCATAATTTTTTTTATTTAATTAATAAAAATATATTCTGAATACAATTTTTTTTACAAATCAGCAAACTCTGCCAATCCAGTCACATCAATCAGAATTTCATAAATTTCTGTAAAAGCAGCGAATACAGCTGATTTGGATATTACCAAACCGGCTTATAGTCATGTTTTTATCTATAAGTTTTTATTAGTAATG